AAAAGAAGAAAAAATGTTTCGGATATTGCGAATCAATTTCAACAAAAATTTCAAATGTGTCATCTCGTTATGATGTAAAAAACAGGCTATTTTTTATTACTACGCAAGTGCGTCTCACAAGCGAACGCGACGCGTGAAAAAAGAAATTATCAATCAAAGACCGGTCTTTCTTCGTAAAAAATGTCTTAATGTAATCCGCGTTCGCGTGTGGCCCAAGAATGACGAAACTGATGCGGCCGATAGAAGCAATCAAGCGAGACGAGAAAAGGAAACGAGAACGGAGGCAGAGGAGGAGGACAGAGAAAGAGAAGCGTAAATTTTCGAAAAAAATTCTCATTGATGGATAGTTTATCGCGTCCCTGTTCTACCAATGATTCCTTCCCTAAATCCTTCTCCCTTTCGCTTCTATCGTCTTCGGTTACACATACACACAACACACACATACACTCACACCATCTCTCCTCTTTTACTGCACGAGGGTGCCCCCTCCAAGCTTTCCTGGACAACAGAGCCTACCTAAATATCGGGGGATCATGCTAAACGGCGGCAGATCAAAGGGACCGACAGAATCCGGTGGCGAGCTATCATAATAATTAGGCTCGCTCGCGCCTCTTTGTATCGGGATAGAAAAGCCGACGTGGAAGGCCGAGAAGAAGAAGCGAAGATGCAGAAGAAGAGGAAGAAAAAGGGCTGCGGACGGTCCGGTTGGTCGAACTGGCCGGGAAGAACGGTCGGCACCGCTCCTGCCCGCTAAATTGAACCTAAGGGGACTCTAAAAAGATTTTACCGATTTCGGTGAATGAGAGATTGCTTGCGTTCCTCGCAATCAACGTACTCCGACACCGCCGGGTTTCACGCCGCAGTTAATTGATTTAATAAATGATTCTCGATCATTCTTTAATCGTCGAAGCGATGCTAATGCTCGCGTGTGTAATGTGGTGTCGTATATTAGATATTAAATACAGAATGTCCGCGAAATAAATGAGCGGTTCCTTGATCCATTCAAAGTCGATTTTTCGTAGAGGAAGTATCGGGACATCAATCGTTTTGTGTCATGAGTGATTGATAACTAATATCAGTACGCTTGTTTGCAGCAAGTAAAGTCTTATTTTTTATACATCTTCAAATGTGTGTGGACTTTCTTGTAGAGAAATCTCTATAGCTTCTAATCATCGAGATATTTAAAATTAAAAATTGGTGAAAGAATATTTTATATTGTGTTGCCTTCATTTATTTTTCGAAAACATTCTATAAAGTGTGATGGCGGAATTAAATGTTTCCCATCGACAAAACCCATTTCAAAGAAGAATTTATAATTATCAATGAAATCTAAAGATAAGATAGTGCAGCATATGTGGGAGAAAAATGTTTTCTTCTCTCTCTCTCTTCTCTCTTCTCCCTTTTCAATGTGTCATATACCGCGAGAAATTCTATTTATTTTGCAGATGGAATTTATTTCTCAAGTTCCCTTGTTTGTATCAATGTTCAATCTTAAAAACACTATTACAAAAGTCATATTAATCCTGCGCGATAGTTGCGTCTTCGCTGAGGCAATTGTACCTCCGCACATGTCGTATTTACGCAGCGTATATTTTTCAGCTCTATGCTACTTGCAATGAAATAACGATTATTAATCCGCGACAATCTAGATAGGCAGGATGTCGGTAGGATTAGATTACACGTTGTGCACGCAATCGCGCACAATTTACTATCGTCGTATACGTTAAGCGCGGTAAATTGCTTAGCGCGATTTATTACAATTATCGGTAGTCATATTACAGACTCGCGAAATCCGCTTCTGTGAAATTCCGAAGGCACGAAAGCGACTCGTCGCTCGGTGAAAGCGAATTGTGTTTCTCGGTTGTTATATAAATTCATCGCATTTGCATCAGAAATCGATAGGTAATATATCGATTTGTAATGTAGAGAAATAGCAGAAATATATACTATATGCGTATATGTCAACGAATATAACACACGACGACTAACATCAATTTCCATTCAACTTTCGCTATGCGTTTCTTTCGTATAATAATGATGACAATTAATTCTCACCCAACAATAACTAAATGAAAATTTTCTTAACGTTTCTTTGCTAATACAGAATTGATTTATATGTTAACGATAGTTATTCAATTTATACCGAATATTAATTTCCTCAAATGAGATCTAATAACGTGTTATTTTCTTAAATATAATACGCAATTAATATCTAATAAAATTGGAATCTAAATTAAAAAATTAACAAACTTTTTGTAACGCTTTGTAACGTAAGTTCTTATTGTCGATGAAAATTGAAAATCTTGAAAATATATAAAACATGGCATAAAGTAGATATGTAACGGTCCGTCGGAAGCATCCGGTGCAATTCCATCGGCCAAAAACCACATAAAAAGAACAAAAATGACATACGCTCTGCAGAATTCAACACAGTCTTCCTCTCTGCTTCCTTTAAATTGTGTCTGTTCAATGGGAACATATATACCTGTTCTTTATTCATCAATTCGTACAAAAGATTGTTACGATAATAAGAAACAGTTCGATGAACAGATTTGATAAAAATTTTTGTAGTTTGTCTTTAAACTTCAATTATTCATACAAATTCTGCAGAAGATTAAAAAAGTTATTCTTATTCACACACACACACAATCATATATTCATTATTTAAAATTTCATTAATTACTAGAAACTTCTTAAAAATTCTTATAATTTTTATTGATAGTATTTTTTTTCTAGAAAGTGAAACTACAATATGATTTTAATTTCATACATAAAATAATTGGAGTTCCAGTATATCTAAGAGGTATATTTCGCAACGAAATCAATCAGAAGAGAGATAATTGAAATAATTAAGGAAGAATACCATGTAATTAATTTACTTTTCGCGTGTGAAAGTCTTCAACTCGCAGAATTTAATATCTATGACAGAAGAGTAATACCGAGCGAGATGTCAAGACATTGACTGTTAGTTGTCGACTAGATTGCCGCAATTATATTTAAATCGATTCTCGAATCGGACTGTAGATAATGACATATAATAGTTGCGATACTCTTTAAATATAATTGTTACGAGCCAGCAATCTTCCGCGATATTATCGACACAGTCATGAATCCATATCCTTTGATAATTTTTATATTCGATTAAGTAGCAATCTCCGATTCGCTGAAGATATTTCCGATTGTTTAAATTAATCTGATAATCGATTTTCAAATCTTTGTAAATCAATACATATCACAACGACTATAAAAAATTTCTCTATCGTATATATATGAAAAAGAAAGAACTAATATCTTTTTATTTTTAAAATTTTGACGAGACTGCCGTGTTCATTCTGTAAGTGCAGCCTGAAATAAAAAACAGTGAGAAAATATCTCTTCTTTCTCTTAATCATTTTTTATATCGTATTATATTTTATACTTTTTACGCTCAAATAATAGATAAAGTGAAGAAAGACGTAAATAATAATAATAGAGGAAGTAACTGACAAAGGCAAATTATAGAGACGTTGCACATAATGCATAATGCATAATACTACAGAAGACAAGTCCTCGGTTACTCGTATGGAGTATACCGCGCTATCGGACGTATTTTTGTCTCGAAAGTCGTTTATCCCGTATCTAGATGTTAGCGGCCGCGTTAACTTTTCGTCCGATAATCCGTTCCCAAGCCCGCTCGCGGCGGAGTCCGAAATCCGTACTCTCCGGGTGGGACGAAATCACGGTGGGCCCTCGTTAGTCGCCCTCCGCGTCGTGGAGGGTCAGTCCCACGTCATTCGAGCGAGAGAACGCGTGCGATACGAGGCAGCGCAGGAGGCGAGAGAAAGAGAGACGAGGGCGAGAGAGGAGTTACTCCGGGGGTAGAGTAGAGAGAAGAGAAAGACCAGGACGATGAGGAAGGAAGGACGGTCGCACCGCTGCGCTGCGGGACGTTAAATACGTCTCGTAAAAATTCCATCCCGTAGCGGCGTCATTTTGCCGTGCTCGCTACGTTAGGCATCATAGGCGGGGTTCAATCTGGCTCGGCCTCTGGATCCGCCAAAGGGGCACGTCTCTACAACGGAGGTGGTACCCGGTACCGTGGCAGCGGCTTCGAAATGTGCGGCTGGGTTCGAACGATTCTACCGCCCTTCTACGCGTGCGCTGAACCGGTCGTGAGGAAAGCGCCTGCCCAACGCCGGCGCCGGGGGATCCCCGTCCACCGTACCATTTCGCGTCACCGGCTTCGACTGGCCTGAGAGAGGAGGCAACCCGGCTGCCACCTTAGCTCCAAAACTCGTTAGAAACGCCGACGTATTGACGTTTCGCGCGCGTATCTCGCTCGCAGCGGGATCTCTATCTCCGCAACGCGCTCGGCATCAGAACGCGTCGCGCTGTGTGCTGGTGTTCAGTGAGAATAGCAAACGGGAAGAGAACTGACATCCGGTCGAGCTTCTACTCCCGAGAACAGGTTGTTGTGGAAACTCGAGGACGAAATTGCTTCGAAGCTCATTCGCGCTATGAAGTTCTTGTATAATATTCTGGTGTTTAGTTCAGAAGGAACAACAGTGACAGTGCGCTAGAATGAAGGAGGAAGGCGCGAGCCAATATCTGACGGAATGACATTCGATGGAAATCACTGATCTCAAGGAAAATGATTCGGCGGGAGGTATGAGACGGATACTCGGATGCTGACGATGAGACTCGTGTATTGGGTTAAGCGCGATGACGGAGAATACGAGTGCAACATTGACGGATTGTCGATAGCAACAGTGTTGACAGGTTTCGTGCTCTCTTGTCAAGATCCTCAAAGATTCGGACATGTTAGACCAGTGAATGAGACTCGATACGATTGTGCAGCAACCTCGTGAACAGTTTTCGAAGGCAAAAGTGCGCGTTGAAAGAATGCATGGTGTTTGAAGAGTTAAACCTGTCGCGACCTCGACTGACTGTCAAAAGTCAGACAGGCGAGTGTCTCGAGCGATTTTGCTTTTTAAGTTAGCTCGCTCCACCATCCGCGCGGCATGTGTACCACGGAGATGACGGAATCGTACACGATGTCGCCGTCGACGACGGTATCTTCCAGCGCCGCAACGCTAGAAGCTCGCCAGGTCGGGGGGATGTTCAAGACGACGAGGACGAGATCTCCGTAGGCTGTCCTAGCCCGCTGCCACTAGTGGTCGTGACGCCAAACACGGAAGACGAGCTGGCCTCCTCCAGGGAGGACTACGCCGACCGGCTGAATCCCAGAAGAACCTACGTGCGAGATTCGATGACGGAGGATGAAGAGAGGGACTATTCTCGTAACGGAGAATACAGGATGTCAAATGGGCGAACCGGTAGCAGGACTCGCGAGAGCGGTGATTCAGTTACAACGCTCAGAGACGACGAGGAAGATGATGAGGAAGAAGAAGAGGTAAACAGCAGGACAGGTAGCAATGGTGCGACAACTGCCGGCACGACCGACGATTATTTCAAGCCGCTGAAACGTTTGAAGATGGTGCAGGTGCAACATTCGGATGAGGAGGACGAGAGAGAACGGGAGTCCAACGATCGCGGGGTCAAATCCTTCAGTATCCTCGACATCTTGTCGCATCGGCCAAAAGCGAAGATTGTCCGTCCCTGGGACACGGTGGACTCCGGCCTCGGCCATCAGCACCGCCATCATCTTCAGCAGCATCAACATCATCAACACCATCTGCACCACCATCATCATCACAGTAGTCATCCGAGTCACGCGGCCGGACCTCGGGACCTCTCGCTGATGGGTATGTCACTCGCATCCATGTCCGGCTCCATTAGCGAGCCGCCCCTCAGCAGCTCCTCGTCGTCCGGAAGGAGCTCCGTGTCGGATTCCGGTAGCCCGGACCCGCTCGCCCATCATCACCATCATCATGCCGCGCTTCATCACGCGGCCATTCATCCCGGTCTGCATCACCCGGCGCTCCAGCAGCCGCAACAGCAGCAGCATCAGCAGTTCAAGAGGAAAACGTCGCAACAGCACGGCTCGCACGCCGGCCAAAACGGCAAGCGAACTACAGGGCAAGGCAGTCCCTTGGATGCGCTCTTCCAAATGACTAGCAAGACCTTCGATGCGGGCGAGCATAGTCAGGGTAAGCACTCAAAATTTTTCAGTATTCTCGGATTTACTACAGACTTGCTTGTGATTGAATTGACGTGTTTTGGAAATACAATTATTTTCTCACTTATTCATAGAGAAAATTTTGGGAGAAGATATCACACAAGTTGACATTATCAACGCGTGTATCTAATTATTAATGATTGTTGAGATGTAGATATCTTAATATCTCATCAGAAAGAGAAGAACGGGAGGGGGAAGGATCTTATTTATATAAACGAAATTCTCAATGAAAGTTCTGATGTGATTTATATGCATTTTGTTTAATTATTAATACTTTTTGTAAAATTAGTTGATTTAATCAATCTAAATAATTTAACATCTTAATCGAAATGCTACATTCTTTTTCGTATAAGTTGCACAATTTTATTATATTATATGAGATAATAATTCTATTACAATATATGAGACAAAAATTCTTAAAAAGGAACGTTTCAGATCTTCAATTTTATATATTTTTAGCAAAAATAATTGGTCAATTATTATTATATATCGTTATTAATAAATGCAAAATTGTTGAACGTTAAATAACTATCGCATTAAAATCAAAATAAGTGACTCACATAAAGATAAATGTTTTGAATAAGAAATCACATGAATTAATGATACTTATTTATTTCATTCATTGATTTCACCCCTAAATAATTTCCGCATATTAAAGTATATATAATTTTTAATACACTACATATATGTATATTTTGATATATTATATATTTTGCATAAGTATTGTACATTTATACGATATAAATGTTTTACTTTGAATATGATACGTGAGGCTAACACGATTCCAGTCTAGCGACGGCAAGTTTACCTACCGAAAGCGGTGAACAGTTTTAAGAAATGCGAATAATCTTATTTTTCATATTTGCGTTTTTGTTTGATATTTTAATTGCGACTTTTACACGTGATTACTGAAATTCCAATCTCTTGCATAAGAAATTAATGTCAGCTGCGATATAATCAGCATTATATTAAGAAAAGAAATGCATGTCGTACCTCATACTTCGAATATTCGACTATGCAATTTTAGATCGCTTAAAATTCCATCGTTACATAACGCTTACATTTTAACAGACGGGATACGAATACGTGCGCGAAAACGTGGTCGTTCGTAGAATCTATCGTTTGTAATTGGCGAGCTTAAATATCGGCGATGAATACGGGCTTTAATTTTGATTGATGTTCCGCTCGAGAGTCAGGAAGCGCTGCCCGCGCTCAATCCTTTCAAAGGCGGCGCTTTATTTTACTCTTTTACAGCCCCCTACGGCCCGACATACGGAACGTTTCAAATTTCGTGGCGCGTTAGGTGTGGCAGGTGCCAAAAATACGAGTCAGCAAAATGTTAATCCGAGTTTGCTCGAATCTTTAGATTCTGCAACTCTTTCAGATCTGTATATGTGCAGCATCGTAAGAGTGACGGATTAATCGCGCCAATCATACTCGACGCAATACTAATCTTTCAACATTGATGAGCCATAATCAATGAATATTAATAAAAATTTACATGTAAATGTAAGCAACAAAAAAGTTGCTACCTAAAGAATACATGAATGCACAATCAAAACAAACAAAAAAAAAAAATAACAATCTTTTTCGTATAAGTTGCACAATTTTATTATATTATATGAGATAATAATTCTATTACAATATATGAGACAAAAATTCTTAAAAAGGAACGTTTCAGATCTTCAATTTTATATATTTTTAGCAAAAATAATTGGTCAATTATTATTATATATCGTTATTAATAAATGCAAAATTGTTGAACGTTAAATAACTATCGCATTAAAATCAAAATAAGTGACTCACATAAAGATAAATGTTTTGAATAAGAAATCACATGAATTAATGATACTTATTTATTTCATTCATTGATTTCACCCCTAAATAATTTCCGCATATTAAAGTATATATAATTTTTAATACACTACATATATGTATATTTTGATATATTATATATTTTGCATAAGTATTGTACATTTATACGATATAAATGTTTTACTTTGAATATGATACGTGAGGCTAACACGATTCCAGTCTAGCGACGGCAAGTTTACCTACCGAAAGCGGTGAACAGTTTTAAGAAATGCGAATAATCTTATTTTTCATATTTGCGTTTTTGTTTGATATTTTAATTGCGACTTTTACACGTGATTACTGAAATTCCAATCTCTTGCATAAGAAATTAATGTCAGCTGCGATATAATCAGCATTATATTAAGAAAAGAAATGCATGTCGTACCTCATACTTCGAATATTCGACTATGCAATTTTAGATCGCTTAAAATTCCATCGTTACATAACGCTTACATTTTAACAGACGGGATACGAATACGTGCGCGAAAACGTGGTCGTTCGTAGAATCTATCGTTTGTAATTGGCGAGCTTAAATATCGGCGATGAATACGGGCTTTAATTTTGATTGATGTTCCGCTCGAGAGTCAGGAAGCGCTGCCCGCGCTCAATCCTTTCAAAGGCGGCGCTTTATTTTACTCTTTTACAGCCCCCTACGGCCCGACATACGGAACGTTTCAAATTTCGTGGCGCGTTAGGTGTGGCAGGTGCCAAAAATACGAGTCAGCAAAATGTTAATCCGAGTTTGCTCGAATCTTTAGATTCTGCAACTCTTTCAGATCTGTATATGTGCAGCATCGTAAGAGTGACGGATTAATCGCGCCAATCATACTCGACGCAATACTAATCTTTCAACATTGATGAGCCATAATCAATGAATATTAATAAAAATTTACATGTAAATGTAAGCAACAAAAAAGTTGCTACCTAAAGAATACATGAATGCACAATCAAAACAAACAAAAAAAAAATAACAAAAACGTTCGATATTAAATGTAATTTAACATAATTAAATGTAAATTATAAGTGATAGCTATAATTTTGTACATGTGTATTATATCGTCATATATGTATATAAATTATATTTTTAATTGGCAATAAATTACTTTCGATATTACATTTAACATCATATGTGACGTTATTTTAGATTAAAATAATTCACAAACAATTCATTAATTGCAACTTTGGGGAGCCTTCAAATAATTTATTCTTTCAATTAATCTCTAAAGTTTTGAATTTTAATCTTTTTGAAATTTTTGGCATCGCGTTTGAATTACGATTACTTAACTGCATAAATTGCGCTTGTTTATATAACAATAAGACACGCGAGCATAATTAATTATCGTTAATGTATAATGCATGTTGATTTAGCGTGCAGATTACAATATTATTCGCGGATCAAGAAGCGCATTATTGGTCTGTATACATTCCAATAATAGTGACAGGCATACAGATATACAGAGATATTTCTCTTCCACCGTTTTCTTCGAGTTTTCGCATGACGGAAATGTCGGGCAATAAATGTCAGTCGAGATCACGGTTAAAGACTTGAATCCACGCGTTATGACGATCTTTAACTTTCTATTGATTCCTCGCTCGTGGATCACGCATCTGCGATGTCCTGAAGCGACATGTGAAAGATTATTACGGGGAACAGCCGTCGTCTCTTCCGCTCTGCTCGAGAATTCTGCGACGCGTGACACACCTTCACAACGTCGGTAATAATAACGGTTTATAAGCGCAATGCGACCGGAACTATTTTGTAATTGTATTCGTGATATTTTTCGTAGTGCATTCTCTGGGCAAATAACGTTGAGGAGCTGTTTTATTGAATAATTTGCAATGCAAAATATATTAACAGTTACTTTTTCATTTCTTACCATACAATTCATTTGTGAATTAATCAATCAATTGCCGATCGTTACTTCAAGCATTTCCAATTAATATCAAACAATTAATATATAATCGATATAGGAAATATAAAAAGCTGCACAACATAGGCTATTTTTTTATATTAAATTTTTTGTTGCTATAGTCAGTTATCCGTGTCGACAGTATTTATTTATATATACACTATTTTCTTTGTTCTTATAGATATTTTTAATGCTCTCTTACAAGAGCGCTATAATAAAATTTTAAGTGCGGAGAAAATAATGTCTGCTGGTAGATAAGAACTATTTAAAAGGAATCGTTGTCTATTCTGAAAAAAAATATAAAAATAAAGTTTTTTTACAATGATAAAAATTTATATATATGATTAATATTATTTTAACGGTATAAAAGAGATGTAAAGTGTTCTAAAAAAACATCTATTTGGCTGTTATAAAAGAAGTAAAAATGATTTAAAGTAGCAATTATTATAATATTATAACATAATATTATAATATTCTAATATTTATTCATGCTGCTACTAAAAAATCATTTAAAAAACAAGTCTCACCCGGAGGGTACAATAACAAGATTTTAAACGATTAAATTATGTAAATGGTTGTGTGCTATTAGAATCAATATTATCCTTAATTCTTATAATATAAAAGTCGCAAAATAGCAATTATATATCATCCGCATTGTTATCAAACAATTATTCGAAAAGCAAGCTGCAACAAGGCTTATCAGAGGTTACAGCATCGAGATCGATCACATCCACTGTGATTGATTGTCTATTTCTAGAATCGATTTTATTCTTAATTCTCACGGTGTGAAAATCACGCCAAGTAGCAAATATTCGCATCGCTACCAAAAAATCGCTCAAAAAGCGAGCCGTAAGGTACGGCCAGCGGGCCGAGCGTGTCGAGATTGCAACGATCGAAACCCGTAAATCGATGCGCCCTACCGCGATTCTCATTCGGGGCATCGCAGGTATCATCGGATCAAGTTATGGAGTCGAGAGGAGAGATAAGGGGAACAGGAGAGGGGGAGAAATAAGAATGCCGCGTAAGTATAGAGAGCATAATAATCAGAAGTAAATTGCGAATACGTGAGGCTACCGTATTGTAGGGAACCTGAGGGAATCCGCGACTGTACGGGGCCCCTCCGTCGTTCCCGCCGCGAGGCCCCTCCCCTAGCGATCGGCAGCATTCATCGTTCCTTCCGTAGGGCACCTCCGTAGGACTGCTACCC